CCAATTTTTTTTTTAATTTATTTGGACGGGCTCCACCATCATAATTAACTGTCATTCCAATGGAATATTGCAATAATATGGGCTCAAATAATCCCCACACACGTGTGTGAATGGTTTTTTCTACAGTAGAGGGGCAAAGTCAAGCAAAAGAGATTGAAGTTATACTATCTTCGTTTAAATTATAAAATATTTTTAAAAAAATTTAATATCTCAAAATATAAAATATTTTTACAAAAATAAAGTTTTGTTGATATTGATTTTTAATATTATGTTTTTTATATATTTTCTTTTTTTAAAATTTTTTTATAAATAAAATATTAAATTAAGAATATTTTTAAGAGTTTATAATTTTTTCTAAAACAATAAAATTATAAAGTGTATTTGATAAATTTTATTAATATATTTAATTTTGTTTGAAAATATTTTATAATTTGAGATGAAAAAAATAATAAAAAAAATTATTTATAATCAAGTAATCAATACTCGTTTCTTAATAGTATTACATACATCATATTGGATAGGTAAACAAAAAAGAGAAAATGATAATAAAATTTTTTTAAAATATATAAATAATAATTTGATTCTTCAAAATATCATAATTCCTCTAAAGTTTTAGGGACTTTTTTGACATTAATAAATTTATATAAATTATTAAATTGCTCTAGTTGAAAATAAATTATTCACAATTATTTTTCTTACATTCGCAAATTTTTATTTTATATTCATAACAATGCAATAGCAAATCACAACTTTATATGTTAAATTTTTATTTACTATTGCATTATTAAGAATATAAGAAGAAAATTTAAAAATCATTAATTTTCAATAAGGATAATTTAATAATTTATATAAATTCATTAATAATAGAAAAGTCTTTAGAAACTTCAAAAAAATTATAACATTTTGAGGGATCAAATTATCATTTATACATTTCAAATAAATTTTATTTATCATTTTCTCAATAAAAAATGTTCATGATATTAGTGTTGTCATCAGTATATGGTTAAAATCTGAAAATTTTTGTTATATCATATTAAAAATATATAAGAATAAGAAAATATTAATTGAACAAACTAATTTTGAAATACAGTAATTTATTAATAGAAAAGAGCCTCTAGTCATTTATTACAAATAACACTTAAACATCATCATTATATTATAAGGGGGGAAAATAATCAACAGAGAGACAAGGATAGTAAATCAAACCAAGTGTAATGCATTAGTTAGGATAAGAGATTATTTTATTGGCAACAAAATTATAATAAAGAAAATATTTTATTTCTAATAATATAGTAATAATATCTATATGTTGATAAAAGCAAATAATGAAGCTGCCTAAGTCCAAGTCCATATATCAATTGAATATCAATATCAATTGTCCTGCTATCCATCCGAATTGTTTATTACTTTACACACACACACACACACACACAGAGACACGCACAAATATATATATATATATATATATCACCAAAATGTAATTCATGCAGCCTGTGGGTGATTTGCGAGGTTGCTTAGAAGAAGTTTAAGAACCCAGTTTACCCAGTGACCTATGAGGACAAGAAAAGTATTTGGTGAGTCGCTTACTTCTAGTAGGTTTCTAGAGACAAAAGTAAACGAAAACACAACACTAGACTTTGAAACAAAACAACAAAAAGTGAACTTTAAGATCCAGAGGCAAAAGGGGTCAGGAAAGGAAGAATCTATTCTCTAAGTCCTACAAAAGCATCCTCTTTCAAACACACCATCTTTGTCTCCAGGTTAAGAATCTTTCCTCAAATATTTCCTCTCCTTTTTAGTTTTCTTCTTTCGAGCAAGGCCAAGAATCTTAATGGGTTCTAATGGCATGCCTGCAGGAAAGGTATTGCATCATCACATGGATTGTTTATGGATTGCCCTTCACTAATAATGACGTTACCCATTTTACTGAATTACATAATGTGGCCTCCTTCCCCACATTCTTTCCATCATTGGAATGCATGCCTCTTCATTTCTAAATAATAATAATGCTCAATAATTCCCAAATGGTCTTCTCTTCTTCTCTCTCTTGCCTTCTTCTTCTTCTCACCTTCTCTGTATTAACTTCCCATGGTATATCATCATCCACTGAGATGTTTGTCTTTTTTAGTCTTGAAAAGTTTAAACATATCTCAGTTATTGGCATGAAAACAGACAGCTTTTTGCTTGGAATATTTTTTATTAGTGTAAATGTGTTTCTCTAAACCAGCTTGTGTTTTTTCTTTGTTTGGGCTTGTTTGAAATGCAGTTATGGGGGATAAGTTCTTTACAGGAACATATGGAGTGAACTATGGTAGGATAGCAGATAATCTGCCTTCACCTCACAGTGTGGTTACACTGCTTAAAGCTGCAAAGATCAATAACATCAGAATATATGATGCTGATCAGAGTGTTCTCACGGCCTTCAAAGGGTCTGGGATTGCGATTGTGGTTGGACTTCCAAATGAATTCTTGAAAGAGATCAGTGTAGGGGAAGATCAAGCCATAACTTGGATCAAAGACAACGTTCAGCCATTTCTTCCAGGAACTAAAATCAGAGGGATTGCTGTGGGAAATGAAATCCTGGGAGGAGCAGATTTGGAGCTCTGGGAAGTCCTTCTTCCTGCAGCGAGAAATGTCTACAATGCCCTTGATAGGCTTAATTTAGCGGATGACATTCAGGTTTCAAGTCCGCATTCTGAGGCTGTTTTTGCCAATTCCTTCCCTCCATCTTCCTGCACTTTCAGAGAAGACATTGTCCCATTCATGAAGCCTCTCTTGCAGTTCTTCTCACAGATTGGCACTCCTTTCTTCATAAATGCATACCCTTTTCTGGCCTATAAGAATGATCCTGAACATATTGACATTAACTATGCTCTCTTCAAGAAAAGCCCAGGGATTTATGATGCAAAGACAAAGCTTCACTATGATAACATGTTTGAGGCCATGGTTGATGCAGCCTATGCTGCTTTGGAGAAGGCTGGGTTTGAGAAGATGGAGGTTATTGTGTCTGAGACAGGTTGGGCTTCTCGTGGGGACGCGAATGAAGCCGGAGCCACAGTGGAGAATGCCAGGACTTACAATTATCATCTGAGAAAGAGGCTTCTGAAGAAGAAAGGGACTCCTTATAGGCCAAAGATCAAGGCAAGGGCTTATGTGTTTGCTTTGTTTAATGAAAACTTGAAACCTGGTCCAACATCAGAAAGAAACTTCGGATTGTTTAAGGCTGATGGAAGCATTGCCTATAACATTGGCTTCACTGGCCTAAAGGCTTCTTCAGCAACCTCTTCTCTTCTTTCCTTCAAGGTATGGAATACATATACCATGAAAATATCAATTCATGAGTATACTTTGCTTCATATTTCTTAAAAGTCATTAACTATTTGTAACCACTCTTCACATCTCTGTTTGCCCTATATACCTATTATACTCCGTTGCAGGGGAAGCTTAATAAACCAATATGGTGAATGTTGCACCATATGTTCATTATTAGGTGTTATCTGATATAATTAGTAGCAGACACAATCACAAGTTTCCTGCTTTAAGATACCTGTTTCATTTTTTTGGGGGGGGGGTGTTTATCGCTGTTGGTCAATGTTTCTGACATGTATTTTGCCTTGCAGGGAATTGGATGTTCTTACATGTTGGCTATAACAACTAGTGTTGCTGTTCTTCTTTTAGTGTTATAATTATTGAGTCAGAGATTGAAGACACAAAGCTCACTGTCTAATGGACTTTTATTCTTTTCAATTAACCCTCGTCACAGAAATGTACCCTTGATTAGGCATTCCTCGTTATAGTTGATGATCCAATCTTCTTGTTTCTTTATTTTTCCCACCTCACATTTGAGCAGTGTAATATTTAATCATGTCTATTTAATCTATGATTCTTCTCAATGCCATAGCTTTCTAAATTAACATGATGGAAATTCAACTCATCAAAAGAGTTAAATTACGATGCAAATGATAGGAACATGTTTTTTTCTTACCGAAAAGGAATTTGCAATAAAAACATACAATAAAGTATTAACGAACAAATTAGTTCTATTTCTTTAATAATGGCACAATATTATGAGAAGAAGGGAGATAAATACATAATGTGGAGCCTGCTTATTTAGGTCACTCCATATATCTTTTTTTTTTTTTTATAGCACCATATTGCTGTAACAGAAAATCATGATTTCTAATAAATCAAATTCGTCAACAAATGGAGAAAATGAAAGTTGAGAATTATTAGTACACAAAATAAGTATGCATAGAAATTCACAGCTTTTGAGCAAACAGAAAAATCTACAACGTGAGAAAAACGAGGTTGCAGTGCAATTGGGTTTGGGAAGTCTGTGTTGACTTTGGGTAAATTAAGAAGGCTGAGGCTGGAGGGGAGTGATTTTCCACAATTCCAGCGCCTTGCAACCGAAAAGGCTAGAGTTCAGAGAACACCGGTGAACGTCGTTGAACTTTCTCTCCTGGGTCCCACGTGCAGACTTTGGCCCACGCTTGTGATGTGATTAAGATTTAAGACAATGCCGAACGATGCCCCCATCCTCGCGTTAAATTAGCCGAATTTTCAAAATTCTTTAATTTTAATTTGATATAATATTCCATCCTGCAATGAAATTCTCTTATTGATTTGAAATATTGTTTTTTTTTAGAATTTTCTGGAAAATATTTTTAAAATTGAGAAAATACTTGAGAAAAACTTGATGTAACTAACAAATGCGCGGGGAGAAAGTATGAATTGAAGTCTCAGTGTAGGAAGGGACGGGAGAAGAAAACGTAGTGGTTTGACTCGGCTGGTGAGAAAGGAAAGGGCGACCCAGGAGGACAGGACGACCCGCATTCAACACAACACGGACCACTTGAGTCCTCCCTTTCCTACCGTGTTGAATATTCACCCTCTTCTCTTATTTATACCCTCCATGGTCCCCTTCCACTCATTCATTCTTCATCAACCTTCTCATTCTCATTCTTATACACACACACAATACTTGTTCTTCATATATCTCCATTCCATAACCATGGCCAATACTGCCTTTCCCTTGCCGCTTTATTTCTTCCTTTTCTTCTTCTCCGTTGCGCCACAGCCGCCGTCCATGTCGTCGGAGACTCCACCGGATGGAGGATCCCGATAATGCCCAATTCTACACTACCTGGGTCTCCGATAAAACCTTTCGACTCAACGATACTCTCTGTACGTCTATAATTTATTTCCCATTTATTTATTAATTAATTCAAACCCTTCTCTTTTTTTATTTCTAGACTAAATATCCACCCCCCCTTGCTTTTACTTTTGGTAGCGTTCCAATTCGCTACAGGTCAAACACGACGTCGTCAAAGTGCCGAAAGCATTTACGATTCTTGCAGTGAAAAAAGTAACACGCTGAAGGTCACCACCGGCCCGTATAGCTACACCCTCAATGAAACCGGAAGCCACTACTTCATTTGCAGCTTTGGCCAGCACTGCCAGGCGGCCAGAAAATTAGCCGTCGTCGTCTCCGATGCTTCGTCTCCGACATCGTCGCCTTCTCCGACGTCGTCCACCCCCCAACCTCCTCCTCCTCCTAGTTCTGCAGCTTCTCGTGCCTTTGCTGGATTCATCTTCATCGTCGCTTCCGTTGCCTTAGGGAATCTCATCCTCTAGGTAGAAAACTATTACGATGGTACGTGATTTGAGAAAGTGTGTGGAGAGCATGAAGAGAATTGACAGTTCAGTTCATAATCAGTTTATTGTACGGTGAAAGTTTTTGGTAGTGTTTGGTGTTGCTATTCATCCATCTCCATTGCTTTGTATTATTGATGTCAGGTCCAGAATAAAATTTGATTTTAGGTAATTTTAATTTTATTATCTTGCTATTATATTCTCCACGAGAATTAATTGGATTTATTAGCGAAGAGAAGCCAAGAAAGTTGACTCAGGCGAAGACAGAAATGACACTTCATTCCATTCGTTCCATTGATTGCAGAGATTGACGCCACCTTCCGCAATGAAAATTCGAAATGTCTATCAATAACTTTTTGGGTAATATTTTTTTTTTAATTTGTAAGACATTTGTAAAAAAAAATATTTTAAAATGTAAGATATTTTAAAATATTTTTTTTATTTTATATTTTTTAATATTTTTTTTATAAAAAAGCATTAATTAAACAGAATTTTAAAAATTTTAGTTTGTCTAAAAAAATGAGATTGTAAATCATGCTCTTTCTGTTTTAATTATCAAATACTTTTTAAAAAAATTTCACTCATCAATAAATCTCATTAAATATATTTAATTTTATTTTTT